ATATTTTGATAAATATAGCAGGTGCTGAACATCTTCCGGTTGCCTGCCTTACTTCCTCCTTAAGACGTCCCTGAAGTGCACAACACTTCTTATATGTCTTTGACTTCAGCAGTTACAAGTCATAAGTTAAGTATGAATTCATTTTCCCAGTGATGAGGCTCAGTTTAGTTTAATTAGTTACAATGAATTAAAACAGTCAACGACACACTACAAGACAGAACATTTTCAGGGGACCCCCTTATACACATCCCCTGAGGTGATTAGAAATATCTTTTTTCTTATTTCAGAGTTATGTGAAAGAACAACACTGGATAAATAGCTTAGAAAGATATTAGAAATGTATTGAAAATATTCTCACGTCAGCACAGAATACCCATATCATGATTATTTTAATGAGTGAAGATGCAAACTTGAGAATCCCTGAATAAAGTCATAACAGAAAAATGGTTAAAAGCATCTTGTGCTTTGATGAAAACACAAAATGAGTAAAAACAATTCTTCTCTATCAGTGTTGTGTATCAGGGCAGGAACTTTTTCTTTCGAGCAGTTAATATTTATGTGTAGTGTAGATAACACGTTCATTTATCTGAATCAACTGATTATTTCAAGAAAAAATTAAATAAGACAAACCTGGGGAAAAACATACCATAATAATCTGCAACACAGAGAGAGGGTGGAGAGATCAGACAGCAGCTGTAAAAAACAGGACAGGACATCATCATAGCAGATAATATAGCATGCTTTATAAACAGTGTGCTTCCTTTTTATAAAACAGTACAATACAAAACAGTCTAGCACTTCCAGACACAATGTCTTCCATATTTACAGGAGGAGTTCATCATGTAAGACAATTAAAAATACATCAGTTGTTATCACAGAGAGGAAACTTAACTGATGTCAGATCAGTCCAAGAACATATTCACAGTTGGTTAATAATAACTTCTTGTGCAGTATATGTGAGCGAACATGGAATGACGCTCCACCACTCCGTTTACAGTTTGTACTGTTTGTTTGCTTTGTGAGGAATGTTACGTAATTTATTACACAAAATGAATTTTCACTTTCAATACTATTGGCAGCAGGTCAGCCCTCCAACACTTTCATAATTGCTTTATGGGAAATTTTACATGATTATTCAATCTTTTGCTGATGATTTTATGACTAGTATTTTTGATTTGCTGCCATTGTAAAGCAATTTGTAATGTGGAGTTTGAAAATCAAATTAGTAAATCAAGTTTATTATTATTATTACTATTATTATTGCCATTTATTGCCAACAGAGGGCAGCAGAGTAACAGTGTTAAAAGTGGAATGGCTGAACCTAAGCAGCTGATCTCACAACTGGTGCGATCAAAAGAAGTTTCAAATTATATATGCAGCTAATCTGTATTCTCACACTCTCAAAATAATGTCTGGGGTTATGAGGAAAAGTTGATTTAGTGACTCCAGTTTCTAGGGTTGATATAGACTGGTGTGGTATAGAAGTACTACACATTTTAATTTTTCAGTGGACATGACTGCAAATTCATGTGAAACGTAGGACTTTTTCCGACTGTATTCCTTAAATTTAATTATTAAATCTTATTGAATTTCACCAATAGAACAAAATATATTCAAACTCGTACAAAAATGTTGCACACCTCCCTTTTGTGGCCTGTTGTTATGACCCCAGCACCGAGCCCTTTGCTGTTAAAGTGTCTGTGTCTTCCTAAAATACCCAGAGTTCCCCTTCTGACTGGCTCAATTTCATTATGACCTCTGTTCCAGTCTGCAAGGTCTATATCGCATTAGCATTTTTCTGTTCGTGTCTAAAAACAGATTGAGATCCTGATGAGAGTCCACTTAACTCCTTCCCCTGGTGGTCAGCCAAACGCCTCCCTTATGACAGTGACAAGGTCAGGAATAGGCAGACGAACAAAAACCTAACATGGACGCCCCCCTTGTGATTTGTGTTGTTTGAGCTCAGATGTGATACAGTGAGAGTGTAAAATATCTGTTTATGACTGGACTAGATAGCAATGATTTTGAAAAAGAATTACAATTACAGTAGGACGGCAAAATCTGATCAGTCAACATTACTATAAACAACGACAAGGATGTCAGAGTTTACAAAATATATAATACAATCTTATACAGTATAATCTATTCAACACAAATGTTCACTTTACAAATAATTCACATTATTCAAAGTAAGAAGTCAACGTTCATCTTTACACAGGATTTTCAGATTAACAGGGCAAAAGTCTTGTACAGTGTGACAGTGGACAAACGAAAGAGCAAGTGTGCATGTGTGCACATGACCTGTAGAGCCCCACTTTTGTTTTAAGTCACCCTTGACCATCCAATGAAAACTTCTCTCTCCCACATTGACAGTGATATTACATGGTGCTTTATGGTCAAATTGGCAGTGTTGCAGAGTAGTAGTCGTTTTGTATAATTCATATTTTCTGTAAGAACTCATCAACAGCTAAAAAAGCAGAGCCTCTACATATTAATGCTCTAAAGTTCTGCAGATGAGTGTAAAGATGCAGTATTATAGCTCAAACTAGTCAAATACATGTTGGCAAGTCCTTGGCAATCATTGAGCACCACCCAGCTGTTATGTATTCATGAGTTTAGAGATAGAGAGCTTGAGTCGCCTCAAACGGAGCAAGGTGAAGTCCTTTACAGATGAAGGGAGACAGGGATCCTGGGGGGAAGAAAGAGGGAGTTGGCAAAGAGTTCTGCAGAGGTTAAAGACTGACGGGACTCTGAGTGCTATTGTTGCTTTGTCTTTTTTTTAACAGTCCTTTGAAGACATCTTTAAATATAATCCACGTTTCCTCTGCACAATAACAAGGACACAAAATAAAGAGCAGTAGAAATACATCATCTCAAATCCATACCGATTGCCTTTTTTCCCATACGTAGTCATTTTTCAAAAACGTCCTATAAATAAATAATTCTAATGTTTTGCAAGCGCAGGCACCCACTCCAGTGTTTTTATGTCCCAGCTTGCCATTGCTTGTAAACAGCATCAGGGACAGAATACTAAAAAGAAAAACAGGCCCATGATCAAATCATTTTCATGTTGAACTTTCGCGCCCCGCCCTGTCCTCCGCTCGCAGCAGGTCCGTCCACTTTCCTGAAGGAATATTCCACCGAGAAATTGTTCTTGTGCTGCCCCCTCCCTCGACTCCACACAAACAGCAGGATGAAGCAGAACAGGACCACACCCAGGAACATGATGCAGCCCATAGCTGTGGATATGAGGATGGTCTTGAGGTCCAGAGTAAACTTCAAGAAGACTCTGGTGTCGTTTAGATTAGTGTCATTTAGATCCCCGGCATAGTAAGTGCGGTTGGCCATGAGGGCTGCGTCTAGCGGCAGCCCGCTCACTGTAAGAGTGGCAAAATAGGTGTCATTTCCACCAGCGTTACTGGCTATGCAGATGTAAGTTCCACTGTCTGTCACCTGGGCGTACCGTATTTCTAGCGTGCCTTCTGGTAACACAGTTAAGCGTCCGCTGCTCTTTGTGGTGATGCGACGGCGCTGAGGGGAGATCCAGAATATCACTGGCGCAGGCTCCCCTTCAGCTTTGCATATGAACGACACCACCTGTCCCTCGCGGGCAGATATCTGCTGCAGTTTCCTGTTGCGGATTTTGGGCTTCTGGCAAGTGAAGTGATCAAAGAGGGCCGAGTCAGAGAAAGCGTTGAGCGCCCGTCCTTGCACCTCGACAGGCATCATACACACCGGGGAGGCGCCGTCAAAATTAAGGGTCTTCCTGCGCTGGAGGATCCAGAGCAGACGGCAGTCGCAGGCCAGAGGGTTTCCATCCAAACGTAGTGTCTCCAGAGTGTTGACAGACTGAAACGCTCCCTCCTCCAGGGTCACCAGGCTGTTAGTGGAGAGGTTAAGAAGGCGGATCTGCCTCAGGCCACCCAGTGCGTATGGCTGCACTATTATCAGGTTCGTGTTGACCATATGCAGCTCCTTCAGCCTGACAAGGTCCCGCAGCGCCCAGGACTCCAACACCGAGATGGGGTTGTAGGAAAGGTTGAGGCTGGTGAGGTGGGCCAGACTGCGCAGGGCGGAGGTCGGCACAGATGTGATGTTAGTGTGTGTGATAGACAACCAGGACAAGTTAAGCCCCTGCAAGCTGTGAGGGGAAATGTGCTCTAGAAAGGGCCAGTGGTTGATTTCAAGCCCCTTCAGGTTTCCCAGCTTGCGGAAGTTCTGGTCTTCTAAGGAGGAGATGCTGAGGTAGCGGAGCCGCAGAGTCACCAGGTTATGCAGATAAGACAGAGACTGGCTGGACACAGATGTCAGGTTGCACCTCTCGATGGTCAGCTCCCTCAGCCCCACGAGACCCAGAAAGGCCTTGTTGGAGATATAAACCAGATCATTGTCTCCAACTTCTAAGTTTTTTAGGCTTTTCAGGTCCTGGAAAGTAAAGTCCAAAAGAATCACAATCTTATTCCCACTGAGGTCCAGTGACGTCAGGTTGGAGAGACGTGAGAAAGCCCCCATTGGGACCAGTTTCAGCTGGTTGCCCCTCAGCGAAAGCGACTGCAGGTTCTGGAGACTAGAAAAAGCATTCGGTTCTAGGACACTAATCATGTTGTCACTCAAGTCCAACTTTTCAAGTCGGGGATACGAAAGCAGGTCTCCATGCTCTACCCAGCGGAGTTTGTTTCCACTGAGATCCAGGATCTTGGAGTCCTGTGGAATGCCGTCTGGCAGTGCTGACAGGCGTTTGCCGAAACAGGACACGGTCTTGAGCTTCGCGATGCAGTCGCAACGTTGAGGACATCCCTGGCTGTGTGTTGGCGACACTGTGATCATCAGCAGCAAGAAGAGGAAAGGCAGGAGCCAGTCCTGGTTCAGGCTCATCCCCATGACCCTCCTCTCCACTGCTTCCTCCTGCTCCTGTCTGGGGTTAAATCACTGGGCCAGACACCTGAGGGGAAGAATCGGAGGAAGAAAAGGAAAAGAGGATGGTGAATGGAGGGGTGGGAGGTGGGGATGTGAATGAGAGGGACAGACAAAGAGAGAGACAGTGAGACAAATTAATTACACTCCATTCCCCTTTAAAGCAGCGATCAAACACTCTAAATGAGTGGAATTACAATTACAAACTCTAATTGACCCGGCACAGCAGTGAAATTAAAGCCAGAGCGCAGAGATAATCCTCAAAGGAGCGAGTTCTGTGTTCAGCCGAAGCAGTTCGGTTAACATTGTTCAACTGTGCTCTGCAGGCACTCCGGCTTTTGAAATCATATGTCACAATAACTCAGTCAATAATATTATCTGTGTAAATCTCAGAGGCGTGAGGCTTATCATGAGAGGAGCTCGCTGCAGCCTGACCTGCATACAGCTTTATGGCTTTCATATGACACACACACACACACACACACACACACAC